AGTAAGAGAAAATTACATAGTGACATGAGGTTTCTGAAGTTAAATTTTATTCAGGCACTTCTGAATTTGTTGCTATGTTGTTATGTTGTTTTTGTATTTTATTTTTTATAATAAGCAGTAGTGTTCCCATGCAATAAAGTGACTGGAGTTTACTGTGTTTCCATTACAATTCATCTCTCTGTAGTGATAGTACCTTTTAGATATGATGTCACAGACTGTCCCTTGGGTCACTGAAGCAATCATCTAATATTTCTTCAGGTCTTAAAATATGTATAACACACTGAAAGAAGAACAGTATTTGAAATTCAATGAATGTACTTTTCAAGGGACAAGCAGCCATAAATTTTTAAAAGAAAGTGGTAACTGAAATCTAGATCTTATTAAAATAGACAAGATTTAGGTAATGTTTTCAGTGGAAACAAGATTTCAACCAGCTATGACCACCAGGAAAGCTGTCGTGCTGTATACATACCATTTCAGATCGTGCTCTGAAATTTCTACTTCCTGAAATTGATTTGTGCAACAGATTTTATAAGAAAAAAATCTTTCCAGAAGGGTTGATGATTTGCTGGCTTTGATAATCTGTGATTCAGGAAAGCCATTACTGCCAACAAAAATCTTATTAAATCCAACAAGAGGGTTTTACCAGCCATGGTGTTTGGTATGAAACATTAACCTCTAAAAAGGTTATAGAATTGTTTTGTTCAAATAATTATTTACTTTAGCTTTTCTTTCTTAGTGTGAACTGAGTATAGATTAGTGAACTTTTATCTTCATGATTTGGTAGATGAATTTTACTATCATTTATAGTTTGTTTTGCGTTTATGTGTTTGGCTTCTTACAGACCAGAGAAAACAATTTTCACTACCAATGCAGTACATAGCACACTAAAGAACCTCTGTGATACCTCTTTAAGATGCTGTACTGCTATTTCATAAATCTTTGGCTTGTCACATATTGTGAATGCTGCTTCAAAGGAGAAAGATCCCTTTGACTCTTAGGAGACAGTTCTGAATTTAGTACCTGGAGTGAACAGGCTCCTTAAGAATTTTTTGTAAAGTCTCAAGAGTGAAGAGGGAAGATTCTAATAACAGAGAAAATTACCTAAAAAAAACCTCTAATTTTTCACCTGTAGTTTAAGGAAAAAATAAAATTCACAATTTCACTCATTATAATGAAATTACAAACTAGCACCTTCAATTTCTAGAAACTGCTAACTTCTTGTACAAGGTTAACCTTTTGCTTCTTACTGCCCCTGAAGCACAAATTGTAGTATTACCCAGATCACATTTTTGTGTTTTGCTTCACTGACATCAGTTATGGCAGCTTCCAAGGATAACTCATAACTACCAAGTGATTTAATGTGAAATTTTAGTTATGCTTACGTGAAACAGAAGAAATTTCTCTAAATTTTTCCCTCTATTTGTTTTGGTGTTGTCGTGGTTTAAACCCAGTCAGGTAATTCATGGTTGAGATAAGAACAGTTTAGTAACTAAGGTATAACACAAATCACTACTGCTATGATAATAATGATAAAGGAAATAACAAGGGAAGAGAATACATCATCTCACCACCAGCCAACCGATAACTCGCCCCCCCAGCCCGACCAAGCTCTGACCGATACCTCCTCCAACCCTGCAGTCTCCCAGCCCTTCCGGCTAACTCCCAGTTACATCCTGGGCATGACGTGCTGTGGTATGGAATACTTCTTTGGTCAGTTTGGGTCAGGTGTCCTGTCTCTGCTTCCTCCCGGCTTCCCCTCCTCCCTGGCAGAGCATGAGGCTCACAAAGTCCTTGGCCAAACCAAAACATCGCTTGTTATCAGCTCTGTTCCCGAGCTGAAAGTCAAAACATTGCACTACACCAGCTACCAAGAAGGAGAAAAATGACTGCTACTGCTGAACCCAGGACAGGTGTTATGACATGAATTTGGGCATATTATTGGCCGTTGGCTATTCGGTTAAAAATGACTGACAGAGGAAAAATGAAGTTCTTCGTTTTCTAAAATATGCTTTTTAAAATTAAATCAGCATTTGATTCACTTTTCTAAGACACACAACTAAACAGGCTCATGTTTTTAAAAGAGAATCTCTTCCACAAACAAGAATGGAATTCTCTCTAAGAAAGCAGTTCATGTGATCCCAGCAGCTATCATCTGACAGATTTCTGCTGCTCTTATTCTATGCCCAAGGCAGATTTTGGTTTTTTAGGGGATAATAAGCTCTGTTTTTTCCCTCTTTGCTACACCAATGCTTTGTATTATCTCAGCACAAATATTTAAGCAAGCTTCTTAAGCAAGCAAGACTACAAAGAATTTCATCCATACTGCAGCTCAGGAAATAAAATGATATTAAGAGGGGATAGTAATGCTCATAATAAGGCTGACATTTTTTCTCCATTCTGTAGTAATCACAGAGGAGGAAGATTTCTGAATCTGTGTGGAACCTAATCTTAAAAATAGTTACCACAGCTCAGTAATGTAACTAATATCAAATATTTAGTTGTCCATTAAATTATTATACATGTACTACTTTGAAAGATGTACTAAATTTATGAACTATTACGTAGTTTAGAAATTCTAGAAGGTTCAAAAATAAGGTCTCAGATTTACCTAGTTTTACCTAAGTCATAGAATAGAAGGCTGATTTTACTTTTAAAATATTTCTAGAATATAGTAAACTGAGAATTTAAAGGCAATTCTGAGAAGGGAAAGCCTTCTTTGTTATGTCTCCCTCCCACTTTAGAAAAATTGAGTACAACTATTTAGCTTGATAATAAATTAAGATCAGACACAGCATTTTAGTTGGGAATTCATAGACCTGAAGTGAATCTACATTTCTAAGTAATTTTCCAAGTAATTATTTGTAAATGAGTGCCTGGGGTTGAACCAGATGTTGTCTCATTAGCCTTACCACAGTAGTATGGAGAGAAAAAAATAAAGGAGCAGTAATGAAAAATAAATAAATACAAGTGTGTACAGAACACTATTTACTTGCATTGATGATTTTCTCTTCAGTATTTAGAATAGTATTTCTATTATATAAAGCAACTGACAGGCAGAAAAGTCTTCTGTAACATTCAAGTAGTAGATTTATCATATACTTTTTTTTTATAGACTTCGCTTTCACTTTACCAATTGATTTTCTAGTAAGTATGGTTTTGGGAAAAGTTGGAAAGGAAAACCTCCATTATCTTTATGAACACATTTTAAAAATCTTTAAACTGCTTTGATGCTAAAGTTAAAATGGTTCCTTACTTACCAACTGGCAGGTAAAGCTAAAGTGTTGAGTCCTAAATAAAGGATAGAAAGAAGATACCAAGTATATGGAATACTTCTATTAGTTCTATTTTAACATTCCTGCACCCTTCTGCTAATTATTTTTAGTGCTGTAAATACTCTAGCTTTTCAAACTACTGGCAAAAGACTCATCTATCTAGGGACAATCAGGAAAATTAATCTGAATTGAATTTTAAACTGGATTAATTAAACTACATTAGATCCCTATGTAAATACACTTCCTCAGAATTTAAATAGCTTTTATTTAATAATCTTTGGAAACGAGTTAAATTAAATGAAATTAAGGCTTCTTTAATGTTGCTTGAGAATGTCCATCCCATAACTTCAAAGTAATAAAACTGCCATACCTAAAATTCAATCTGTTTGTTGTTTTGAATTGCTTTCCTGGTCAGGTCCACATGGACAAGCCACCCCTCTAACAATTCTTACTACTATTTACAACCTTTTTGAGTCTGGCCTTGTTTGATTTCCACAGATAAAATCTGTGTTTATAAATAAGCTTTTGCCTTTATCACCTGATGTGAGAGAACTTACATTAAAAAAGAATTAGAAGATATTGTCTATTTTCCCCTTACGTAGTTGTTAAGTTTTAATTTTAAGCAGATTATGGACCCTCTTAGTCAGTTTACAAAACCAGTTCTTATTCTCAGAGTCAGTGTTTTTCTATAGTAAGCAACTAAAGTACTAGTGTGCTGAAAGTTTTTTGATTCAGGAATGTGTTTATATTTGTCAGCATTTCTGAAGCCATCAAATCTTGGGGCTGATTTACTTCCACATTTAATTATGTAGCATCTTCATATCTTTTCCACAGCATAAAATCAAAAGGTAATCGTTATTGGTGAATGTGTCTACTAGTTGTCTCAGGTTAACAGAGAGTAGTAATGTAGCATGCTTAGCTACGTACAGAAGCTGGGTGTGTTAATGTAACTACTGGCCCTGAAGGCAAGTAGAGTTCAATGCCTCCTACAAGCAGATTGCTATAATCTTTGCTAAAAAAAGAAAATGTGTAGCCTTTGGAGAACACATGTTGCAAAGCACATAATTTAATATACTTCTTAACAGAAGTAAGCACCCTAATTTGTTCTGAATGATGAATTTCCTTTATGTAGACCCCAAATATGTTCAAGTGTGGTAATAAAATGACAAATATGTTGTCTCATTGGTTCAATACAGAATGGATTTGCCAATGAGATTCTGACACTGCCATGGATAATGTATTGGTTTTATTAAAAGTCAAATTTTAAAAGCAAAAGCAAGCAAAAGCTATGGTATTTCATTCTAATATTTTGCATCATGATTGATAGTGGAAAAAATCCAACCATGTGGCCTCTTGTCTTAACTATGGAGTACTGGTGATGAGAGAGAGGGAGAGACAAGCTTCACAAAGCATGCAGCTGTCTGTGCTTCAGATGTGGTGCTTTGCATCAATTGTAGGCCCAAGAGTGACAAGAATGCAGAATAAGCTTGTACTTCTGGAAGCATAACTGCTGTTTCTTCAGAAACATCATCTTAGTGCTCCATAAGTCATTTTGACCAGATTGTTAATTGATCATCAGACCAAAACCATCATTTAAATAAGGGCAGATACAGACAAATACAGTCAGAAATGCGTGTGTCACGTTTCTGTTCCCTTTTTTGCAATGGAGTATCAGTTAAATTCTGACATACCACCGGTTTTGTTTTTTTTCCTCTTTTGCTGCAGTTTATTATGCTGACATACATCTTTATGTTGGCCTGGCTTGGAGTTACAGCTTTTACATCTCTGCCTGTTTACATGTACTTCAATCTGTGGACCATTTGCCGAAATGCCACCATAGTGGATGGAGCTAATCTCTGCTTGGATCTTCGCCAGTATGGTATGTGAATGAACAGCACTAAATATAAACCAAGATTTCATAAAAGAAAACATCATATTGTATCTCAAATGAACTGCTTCAGTGTTTCTGAAACAATTGTTAAGCATCACTTTCTCTCCTTTTGCACACTAGTCAAGGCAGTATATTAAAAATGCACTGCATTTCTGGGCCTGACAAAATTTAATCAGCATTGTTGATCTTCCCAGAGTACTGAAAATTTGGCTTGGGGTTTCTGTTTAGTCTCTTCTTTTGAAATTGCTGGAACTTGTCTGAAATGCTTAATTAGTCATTTATCTGAAGAATGACTCTTTAATCTTGTGGTAGGACACTGATTTGCAGATGTGGATCCTAGGCGATCATTTCTATCTGCAGAGGTGAACTGGGACAGGACAAGATTGATTGCTTGCAAAAATGTTGATGAGGAGTGATAATATAAACAGTAACACTCGAAGAGGCTGGTGAAGAAAGAGTAGGGCTAAAGCCTAAACTGTGAAGGTTAAAATAAAGTTGGGATATGCACATACCTGTGTTCTGATGGGATGATAAATCTGGACAAAAGGGGATTTGGAACTCTAAAAAGTCTGAGAATTCTTGTGTTGGTGGTGATATTTCAATGAAATATTTCACATTAGTGTTTTCACATGGGGAAAAAAGACTTTTTTAATTTATTGATTCCCCCCCCAGCTTGAGAAGTGAGTTGAGAAAGCAATTATCCATAAAGATCTCAAGAGTATTAATTCTTTCTATGACTTTTTATTTTGCTAATGCTCATGGCTACTTTTTACCATTAATTCTATTTAAAATGTGTGTGTAACATTAACATACAAAATGTATATTCTGTGAACATACCTGGTTCCTGTAAATTCAGTGTAAAAAACACTGATTACTGATAGAAAGAACAGTACCATTTTTCATGATAACCAAGTTATAACAGTTCTCTTCAAGCTAGTCTTTTATTTACAATCTAGACATTATCTAAAGGAAACAATGTATCAGATTCTAGTTATTTTTGTTGATAGAGAAACTGTTATTACAATAAAGTGCATGTTTGGGTAATGCTTTTTTATAACTACTGAATGAAGCTTTGTAGCAGATCAACACATTTGAAAACAATATGCAGCACCTTTCTTCACATGAGTATAGAGAATGTTTGTGAACAACATGGTGAGTATATGTAGTAGTTGCAAATAAATTTCCATTGTTTTGATTAGTGTGTTGATCAAAACCAGGGATGAAGATGCTTTCAGAAATGGCTGAAAAATTATTATCTCCATGTTTCCTAATAGGGCTTTCACTAAATACATTCTGTGTTAGTTTTTTGATGGCTGAAATTAACTAGTATCATAGATCACAGTGTGGTTTGGGTTGGAAGGGGCCTTAAAAATCATTTAGCTCCATCCTACCCTATCATGGGCAGGGAGACCTTCCACTAGACAAGGTTGCCCAAGGCTCTATCCAACCTGGCTTTTAACACTGCCAGAGATGAGGCAGCCACAGCTTTTCTGGGCAACATGTTTCAGTGTCTCACCACCTTCACAGTAGAGAATTTCTTCCTTATATCTAATTTAAATCTCCTCTCTTCCAGTTTAAAGTCATTCCCCCTTTCCTGTCACTACATGCCCTTGTAAAAAGTCCCTCTCCAGATTTCTTGTAGGCCCTTTTAAGTATTGGAAGGCTTCACCTTCCAATATAAGGTCTCCCCTAAGTCTTCTCCATGCTGAACAACCCCAACTCTCTCAGCCTTTCGTAATAGAGGAGGTTTTTCAGCCCCTGATCATCAACAAAAAATTGACTTTTGTTAAAGTTCTACAAGGCAGTCAAGAATTTGTATATCTTAGCTCATATGAAGTAAGATTCTATATGATAAGAATATTAAATATTGTGAATATTTATTCTGCTTCCAGGTATTGTAACTATTGGAGAGGAAAAGAAGGTTTGCACCTCTTCAGAAAGTTTCATCAAGATGTGTGACTCTAATGAGGTGAATAATGTGATATTTTTGGCAAATCATAATATATGTTATAGTAGAAAATAACTGATGTGTGTTTTCTTGCTCTTAATGTTCTAATTCTAATAGCTATGGTGATGCAATAAAATCCCAGTGGAAAATACAGTCAGCAAGTACTTTCCCTAGTCATTTATCACATATCAGATTTAGACAGTACAATTTCTACAGCTTTTTGTTTTCTAAAATATGCTTGTATTTTTTTTATTTCTTTTTTATGAATCCCATTGTCATGTATATTTCTACTGAGATGTTTTTGAAAGCTAATGCATCTGCTGCACAATGAATAGGTCTATACAATGAGTCACTGTTTGAAGATCTTATGATTACTGTTGTGACAGGAAAGTAAAGATTTCAAATGGATTTGACCAAACCTTGTAGTGTGTTAGGATAATAACACCTAGTACATTTTTCCTTGCAGTTTTTCCCTTAGGCAAAGGCCACCTATTTCAGTCTGGCTGAGGTTTCTGCATTTTTAAATGATCAGGAATGAAGGATAAACAAAATTACATCTATTCACATAAAAAGACAGGCTAAAATCTTGATCCCTCTGAAGTCAGAGAATGCTTTGATAAATGCTTCACTGGGTCTTACTGTGTTTGAATAAATCTTCTTAGAATGAAGGTACACGATCTGCCTTTGTAACAAAACCATCTAAGAAAATGCAACCCTTGCTATGCAGTCAACACTCAGTGTGCTGGCAAACCAGAACACTAAAATTAAAACAAATGTAGTCATTTTGTTTGGAGTGGGGAAAGGAAGGTAGTTAACTTGGATTGTTTAAGAAACCTGTTTTATATTATATGACTTTGGTTAAACTTTATTGAGAAATTTGGAAGGGAAGTAAATCAGTATGTGAGGATGGAAAGCTACACCTAATGAAGGGAAATAGGGTTTCTTTAGGCTGTCTCTGCCACTATTGAAACCACCACAAACATTTATAGATCTCGTAAGGTATTATTGTAATTGGAAAAAAAAAAGTGCAGGGCTGTTTATTTTTAAATTATAAGTTTGCTTAATATTTTATGGTTTAAATATAATATTTTAAAATAGAATTATGCTTTATCCCTGCTATGAGTATTGTGACAAAACAAGTACAAGCATAATGTCATGTAGGGATCTCAGTCTTTTGGAAAAAGTATGAGTAATCATTACTTGGTAGAATGGTGTCACCAGGAAAGTGATTATTTGCTCTATGTTATTCTTACTTTTTGTTCAGTTTCTGTTTAGTGTGCTGCCATGAAAGTCACTTTCTTTGTCCCTCTTTGCAGCTAAACATGACATTCCACTTGTTCATTGTGGCTCTTGCTGGAGCTGGAGCAGCAGTCATTGCTATGGTAAGCTACCCAGCATTCTGTACTTCCTTCATCATCTGAATTGCTAATTCATTCTGGTTGTTACTTAGTATCAGTTATTCAATTTTCATACTATCACTCAATGCTGTTACTAAAGTATAAGTCTGTAATTCAGTACTCTCATCTCCATTTAAAATATGTTGGTGGATTCCTTTTAAAGTAGAACATCGTGATTGCTTTTTTTGAATAAAACCTCACCTTTAAGTACATGCTTAGAATTTTTACTGTTCACTTGCTCTCTTCAGGCAAGTGTGTGGACTCCCATGTCTGTTTCATGACCGTAGTAATATACTTTTATGATTTATGACTTTCTGGGTATTCACAGGTTTGCCATGCTGCTATTTTAGGAGCAGACTCTTTTTGTCAGTTCTGTGTATGTATGTGAATGCATCAGTTTTTCTGCCAGGACAAATTTTTGTTTTTTTTTTTTTAATAATGAAGATTATTTTGAATTTGATCCCATTTTGACAAAGGAAATGTTCCAATGAGAAAAAAGTGCATGAGCTAGTTCCTTGTTCTTTGGCTTTTGTGTGTTGTATCTGCTTAAACATAACAATAATGTTAGAATAGGGATTCTGTTCCAGTGTAGGCTTGCATAATACACCCTGAAATGAGAAATGAAAAATGACTGGTACTCAGTATTTACACATTCCATAAGAAAAGCGTTAGTGATGTTTATTACCATTATAACTGCTACTGGTAATTTTTGATTGAATCCTAAGGTCAATAAATATTTCATTCTCCTTAGAATTGCATTCATAAAAAAAGACAATCAGAGAACATTCAATTAACCTAGCGTTCCTGTTGCATTAGTGATTTATTTTTTTTTCTTCTGTGCCATTTTTTTTGGTATTATGTGACACCCTGCCAAGAGGGCATCACTTAGCAGAGATAGCCAAAGGGAAGAAATTTATTTTCAATGCAATTTTTGTTTCAAGACTACAAATAATAATAGTAGAATGTAACTAATATTAATAATTTATTTGGTTTTCCAAAATTAGATTTTTATGCTTCCAGTTGGAAAAATGGTGACCAAATAACAATAATATATTGGTATATTAGTGTCAGAAAACTATATCCAAGAAACCATTAGTTCACCAGTGCATTATTGTTTTAAAGTATATTCAGTAGTAGTTATCAAATGCTAATTTGTTCAGATAACAATTCTGCATTTCAAAGAAGAGTTTTGAATAGGAATAGCCATTGAAAGATTTTTAGTGAAAAGAAGCACATCTTCAGTGGAAGCCAATTACATAGGCACATTGAGCCACACAGCTTAAATACATGATACTTTCAACGAGGTTTAAAAAAAACCTTTATAGGTCACAGTACCATATCAAAGATGCCATAGATGTGTTACACCCGGCACTAATCCACTAGGAATTCACTTTGATGAATCACACCTATTTTTGAAGGGTTACCCACACACAAGTATGCTTTTTATTGGATTCTGTGACTGCATAGAGGAAGCATGACAGCACTGACTGTTTCAACAGAAATGTAAATTAAGGACTAAGTGCTAGTAATTTCTGCACCATCCAAATGCACAGAAAAAAATAGAATTTTGAATCATAATTCATTTGGACTATGTATGATTCTAAACATTGCTATTCTTTCTCATGTCTGTATAGGTAATAAACAAATACAGAAATTATTGTTGATGTAATATATATTTTACTGTTGTTGATGTTGTGTCAGATAGAAACAGAAGACATGAAGTTGTTTAAATGTAAATTCTACCATCCCAAAGGGTTGATTCTAAAGCTAGCAAGCATTCTGCCTGTGATGTTTTCCTAAAACCACTACAGCAAAACTGAATTATGAGACAGTTTCCCCTCTCAAAAGTTACCACGTAAGAAGTGCTCTTCAACTTCCCCAGAGGTTTTGTCTTGCAAGATGGAGGTGCAATCAATTCTCCTGAAACAAGAGAAATGTATAAGTGGTCTGGTCCCTGTCTCCCAGTATGACTGTGCTTTTCTGCAGAATATTGGATGCATATAACGGGAAGAAAAAGTTATTTAGTCTTCTGCCCTCCTGGTATAACATGTCCCAAAAGGAAAGGAAAGACAAAGTAAACCCAAACCCTCCCTAGACTAGATGCAATTCTACAGTTCTGAAAGGTTGAAACATACTTTCACCATATAAAGAAATATAAGCAGCAATGTGCCGCTGGCAACCACCCTGATAGGATGAGGAGGAGAATTGGAAAAAATTAAAAACAATGGGTTGAAATAAAACAGTTTAACAGAGTAAAGTATACTACTACTGCTAACATTAATGAAAAAGGAGATAACAGAGAGATCTAAAACTAAAAAAAAAAAAAGAAGAACAAATATAAGTGGTATACAGCACAATTCCTGACCAATGCTCAGCCTGTCCCAGGCAGCAATCAGACACTTTTGGCTAACTCCCACCACTTTGTATACCAAGCATGATGTTCTGTGATATGGAATACCCCCGTGGCTAGTTTGGGTAAGGTGTCCTGGCTGTGCTTCCTCCAGGCTTCTTATGCACCTCCTCACTGGCAGAGCATGGGAGATTGAAAAGTCCTTGATCAGGGTAAACACCACTTAGGAACAACTGAAACAGATGAATGCCAAATCACAGCACTGCACCATTTATTAGGAAGAAAATGAACTCTATCCCAATCAAAACCAGGACAGAATGTTTCAATATGCAAAAACCATGTGCTGTCTTGTATATGTCTGTAATTAAAACATCCTGAGGCAGACTGTAGAAGCTGCCCTGCTTCAAATTGAATAAGCCTTGACGGAGCCCCACTGGCTTCAGGCTATTCAGGTCATGGAAGTGTGAAATTCAATTAGACAGATAGTTAGAGATGACCTCCTTAGTGTGACAATGTTATCTAGGAACTTTGTGTTAAACAAAAAACGAAGGTGGTGGGACTATTAAACATATATGTCATTATATAACATGGATGTTTATTTGACATTATATAAACTAAAGTAGTTATTTCCAGGCAAGTCATCCTACCTATAGTGAGTGTGAACTCCAAGAGTTCCAGAAGTTTGGGTTTGTAAAATTTTAAGGAAGGGATGGGCAAAGAATGGGAGTTGAATGAAGGTAAGACTGTGGCCAATGTACCTTCAGAATAGTTTGTTGGTTTTTTTTTTAGTAGAAGAAAAATGCCAAGTGAAACTGCAATGCATTAGGTTTAAATTTGGCTTTTACTGGGTTGTTATCATAACTTTTGTGAGGATAAGAAATGTGCCTATGTGGTCCCGTTTTCATCATGTATTCTTCAGTTGAAAGGTTTTCTGGTACACGTGTTTTAAAAGGCCAGGAAGACATGAGTACACTGCTCAAAGGCTCCCCATTTCTAGGATTCTCACGTCTACAATCGGTTCAAGGTTCAAATTATATTCTTCTATTTGAAACTATTTTTTCCATGAAGATGTGTGGAGTAGTTGAAATAGTAAAGCAGGGATGCTTTGCTGTTTTTTTCAGTTCAGTTCAAGCTTGAACTTTGTGTCAGGTTGCTGTTCTACTTCTTGACTTAACCATGCTTAACTCCTTTTGATAAAAGAGCTATCATCAATCTCTATCATATAGTTTTCAAGTTTGAAGTTGCTCTATTATGATTAGTTCTCTTGCTTCCTAACTTTCTGTGACTTCTCTTATAGGTTCATTATCTCATGGTCTTGTCTGCCAACTGGGCCTATGTGAAAGATGCTTGCAGAATGCAAAAATATGAGGATATTAAATCAAAGGAGGAACAAGAGCTTCATGATATTCATTCTACTCGCTCTAAAGAGCGGCTTAATGCTTACACATAAAAGAAATCTTGTCTTACTTTTTACCATGAGAATGCTTTGCTGTTTAACTAAAGGCCATCCAACCATTTTAAAAACAATTGAAAGTGCTTCTCACAAAAGATTGTTTGGGTGACTTACATATCACCCATGTACAATTCTTGGTTGTCTAGCACTTGGTTTCTTAATTAGTTCTTACTTTGTGTGACCATTCTCTACCACAAAGCTCCTAAATAGCCTTTCCTGAATTCTCTTAAGCTAATTAGTTCTGCTAGATCAAGGATATTAAACTATTGTCAAATGCAAATATGTGTTTGATTTTTTTAATCACTTTGTATGTGTTATGCATAACACCTTTTGCATTATTATATGTTTTTGAAAAAAAAAAGTAGCTTTTTATACTTTTTAGTTTTGAGTTCAGTAACTACTTTAACTACAGGTATACTTCAAAGGGACCATTGTACCTGATGTACAATACAGTAAGAAAACATTCTGATGACTTTGCTTTATATTTGGAAAACTTGCTAGATGGACCCTGATCCAGTTGAATGAAGGTCCTACTAACGTTTTAAACAATCAAGGGTGCAATTTCTAAATTTGTAGTGGGTAAAGAAAAAAAGAAAAAAAAAGAGAAAAAAAGTTAAAAAAACTAAAAAAAGGAAAAAAAGTGCTTCTTATCTTTGTTAACATTGTATTATTATTGATGTTTTTAAAGAATATTCTCTTGTTCCAAGTTCCATGGGTGATAATTCCTGTTTGTATTGTGAGCATGCAGACCGTGGTGCTAACAATGCATGGCCACTTGCCTTTTGAAGGAATTCAATACCACGGCTACCTGTTAAAGAGTTATGGTATATAACGATTGTTAATTTAGTGATATAGTTATCCATAGTTTTTTACAGAATGATCTCTCTTTAATTCAATGATGGTTATGCTAAATTGGAGCTGTTCATGTGATGATGTAAGAAATTACTGCTTAGCTACATTTATGAAAGTAATATATCAAAAATACAGTGACAATAGGAGTCAGATGTCTTTTTACCTGCTTTCAATATTTAAACGGATTGCACCTGTCTGAACTGTAAAAGATATATTAAACGAGACTTCCATAAATGTTATAGCTTGGCTTCTAGCTTTCCTACACATATTGGTTTTCCTGTATTACCTTGAAGTAAGGTGAAAGACCACTAAAGATATTATTTGAAAGTATAGTAATATATTTGATCCTTTATTTTGATAGGAAATTGTTATCAGAAAGGTAAGTCATCTTAATTTGAAAGAATTACCTGTACCAAAAACAAAACAAAAAACCTTATGTAAGAAAAGTCAGTATTATTGGACCAAATTTGCTGGGATTCTTTTTTGTTTCTTTACTTTTTTCTTCTTTTCTTTTCTTTTCTTTTCTTTTCTTTTCTTTTCTTTTCTTTTCTTTTCTTTTCTTTTCTTTTCTTTTCTTTTTTTCTTTTCTTTTCTTTCTTTTCTTTTTTTTCTTTTCTTTCCTTTTCTTTCTTTTTTTTTTTTTTTGCCTATTTCTAATGCTACAAGAATGCTGTAAAGTGTCTTTTAAAGTGATGTAGCCTGACAAGACATTTTTGTCAGTGTTAAAAATCTTAGGTAGTTTTGTGCACTTATTGGACCATTGTGAATTCTCTCTCAGTGTAAGTGCATTTCTAATAAAACTTCTTGAGTAAAACTCTTCTTTGTACTATTACTAGTCATGCATCATCAGTAATTTTTAACAATTCTTGTAGTAAGTAGAGGGTGATACTATAGTTACTTGTGGCATGATAATGCATTAAGTAGTAGTATTAGTTGATTGAATTTTTTTTTTTGTTATCTTTTTTTTTGCTTGTTTGGGATTTATTTTTTTTTTTTATTTGGGGCTTTGTTTGGGGTTTTATTTTTTTTACACTTAGGCTTTCCTACAGGGTCGACAGTTTTCTGATAATGTGCAGTACCAGTATTACAGTTCTGCAAAAAGTATTAGAAACTTCTTTTTGGAATCTATATTGTAGTGTTTCAGTTGTGTCTTAAAATGTTTGTGCTGATTTTTAAAAATGTCTTTTAAACTCATGTAATGATGTTAATGCTTTTGGCTCTTCTCTGGTATTAGAGTTTGTATTTTCACAAAGAATGCTTTGTAGCAGGCATTACAATTAATCTGTTTTGTACATAAATGTGCCAACAGCTTGATGGTGGCGTTTTTGAAGTGTAGAACAAAGTGCTTGCAAAAATGTAATAAACACACTTGTGTACTTTGTGTACTTATTAATTGTTTGTGTCACATAGTTTTTCTTTGCCTATACTGGACAAATCATTATAACCTGAAATGGAAGAAGCTTGTTCCTTCGGTTGTCCTTGCTAGTGGTGGACTGTTCTCAGTATTACGCATTTTTTGTACAACCTACTTTTAAATGTTCAAGAAGATAGTTCTTTTAGCAGGAATAATGAGAACAAAGAGTAAGATTTAAAAACAAATAGTCTGGAGAGGTTATATTAATTAGAGAATCTGTCTTTGTCAAATCTTTGGCAAAAAAGAAAAGTCTGATTGACATGAATAATTTAAAAAAAAAAAAGTTATCCAAGCTCTAAAGAGTGATAATCTTATCCCTTTTCATGACACAATTCCCCCTGGCCTGTACCTTTACAAGTCAAACACAGGTAAAAGTACACTGTGCAGCCTTTCAATGGTTAGAAATTATGCCTCAGTTTTGGGTAGTTTTTTCCACTGTATTACAACTCCTGGTCATTGTTCATTTGCAGATCGCTTCAAATATGTCTCTTACTCAATATTTAGTGTCAGAAACAATATATCCTAATGATCTATAATTTATATATACATAAATAATTTTGATATATAGAAATAATTTTATATATATAAAAAATTTATATATAGAGAAATAATTATATATGTAATATATCCCAATATAATATAAAATTTACTCTTCAGAATAAGAGAGTAAAATAATGTCTAAGATCAGAATTTCATAGTTAAGAAAGAGCCAGGTAGCATGAGCCATACTTGTAATATTTTTAATATATCAGTCAAGAGAACAGCTGGGTGAATTCACATTACTGCAGTGTCACTTGGAACAGCTCAGCAGAAGCTGGTCTGATATCTGTTTGAAAGTTCTTAAGGATATTGATATCTAGATGCTACAGTAGCTAATGCTTTAAAACCTTGATAACAATATTACCTTACTTATGTGGATGCAAAGTAATTTAAGTGAAATTGATGGCAGTACAAATTGACATGATATCACTAAGGAAAATTAATCAAAACACAATTTCAGAATATGTTTGTTTCTCAGTTAACTACCTGTTACACAGTTCTTTGTGTGCTCTTGATGAGAATATGTGCCATTATGTCAGTTTTTCATCAGTAGCACGAGCCAAGGAGGTAGATGAGCTTCCCACAGCACATCAGTAGTAACCAATTCACTTCAGACTCTGTGCATATTTGTTTTATTCCATAGTCTTTGTTGACAGCCCATACTAATTCTTCCTAAGGTAGGTTTCAGGGATGTTAATTTCTACAGACTCTTCTGTGCCTAATCTAAACTGTGACTACCCTGTCTTCAGAAACAAGAAAACCAATTACAGATGAATCAATGCAGCACCTTTTTTCTTTTGCTGCACAAACGGGAGCATGTAGTTAAATGAAAATTCCAGTTTAAGAAATTTCCAGGCTTATATTCTCAGTTTTACATTTTCTTTACAGTTTACTGTAGCCCATCAATGGTACTAATAGCATGTTATGAAACATTTAAAAATTGCTTGGGTTACAAATCCTTCCCACCCGTTTTCCCTTACCCACATCTCCTCTTTTTTTTCTTATTTTGCACAATTTTATTTTATCCCTCAGAGAGATGGTATTGGTGTTTCTATTGTCAGCACAACCACATAAAACATTCAATCAATATAATTTAGGCAACAGTGAAGTTCACTGCAGTTGTGGGGATGAGTGGCTACAAACAAGGGTGAAGAGAGAGGAAAGGGAATTTTTAAGCCAGCCTCTCTCCTGAGGCAAATGTATCATATAGCGGTGTGTCATGTTAAAATCAGGAGGCACTGAAATTATTTGCTATTTTCATGATTCTAAATGTTAATGATTTTTTCCCCCACAGGAGCTAAAGTGAAGCAAGAGGATTTCTACTATAATTGGAAACATATTTACAAATTATATTTTAATAAAGTATGCAATCATTAATCTTGACTTAGTGCATTTATTTAAATTGCAACATATATGTGTTGGTCATAAGTATTTGTTGAAGATGACCATGACTGTAATTCACCTTCAGTTGGTATAGTAGATAGTAAGACCAAACATTCCTGTAGTGTATCACTTAATCAATGGCAAAAGTTTATAGAGTTTTTCTGTTGTGAAGATCCAATGCGTCTTTCAATTACTCAGTTCTGGGTTACCCCAAGTATGACTACAGCTGGTTTTCTGAAGAGCACAGCTCAATTCAGCTAAGCCATTAAAGACCAGACTATAATGCATTTCATCCCAGTAGGAAAAAGGTGGTGTTTATAAAAGCTGTCTCTTAAAAAAAACACCCAACATTTTACTTCCATTGAGTTGCACAGAAACCCTGCAAATAGATATTGTTAGGCAGGAAAACAATTTATGTCTCCAAGTGATATCACATTTCAGCACTGCCTCCACTTCGGGTTGATATCAATTAAAGAGAACAAGCTCAAAACGTTTAATGTATTTAAGAGCTCTTTCTCCTCCACGAGTTGTTCTGTCTTTTCAATGAGGAAGGAACTCCAGCAGTTTCTGAAGTTTGAGATTTTCAACTATAGTTTCTTGTTCCTTAAGATATCTGTGGAGGATTATGAGACTTCAGAGGGTTACGTCTCTATTTAACAGTTATTATCAATGGTGGTGACAGGTGAGTGATTCTGCTGGTACACTGAGAGAGCTAGTTAGTAGTAGAGGTGTGGATTACCTGTGGTTTACAGAAGTCTAAGCATCAGCCAGGAGACTTGCAGATATTCTGCAGGAACACAGTTGTCCTGAGAAAACAGTTCTGCCCCCCTTGCACAAGCTGTTGAGGACCTTTCCCCCATGACAAGTGGAGTCTGGCCAGATAAATACGAGCCCCAGAGAAGATCATTTTAGTTGCTCTTTGAATTAGCATTGACAAACTTCCCATAGCTAAAAGGGATGATTTGGGGGCAATGTATCTTCTCTAGAAGTGGTGAGGTAATGTCAAACAGAAGCTCATTTCAAAGCAGCTGCCACAGCTGTAGCAATAACGCAGCAACAACTGGCATTTTTCCACTAGATCCCAATCATACTAAAGAAAAAAGATTTGAAGAAACTAACAAGAGGCTTGCGTGAATAGTTGATGGTTCTGCACTTTGAGCTGCTCAAGCCAGAAATACTGCATAGGCTGGAAAAGTGATAAGAGAGAGGTTTTCCAGTTTCTAAATATTTTTTCTTCTCAGCTGTCCAGGAAAAAATATATTTAGGCATAAATCATTTTCATAGTTAATAGAGTATTTTGCTTTCTGAGACAGTAAGTCCTGCATTTTTAAAAAGTGGTTTACTCACCTGTATTTCTTCTTGAGGATAAATATTAATTTAAGACTGAATCTCATCAGGAACAAATTTATCCTCCACAGGTTCAAGTCCCAGTTAAAACATGCAAATAAATTCCTGGAATTTTATGATTCAGCCTGTTTAGTTTGCATGTACAATCACACTCTCACAAGTTCGGTCTTTTGGAATGATAAACTAAATCATACGGTTAGACACAGAGGCAAATGGTCGTGTTCATCAGCTGGCTGTTCTGAGCTGATTAAGCAGACTGAAACCTTTCTCAAGAAGGCAGTGTTGAACCCCTCATATCGATGCCACTGTTTGAAACATGAAAATGTTAGGCAGGAATATGTCAGTAAGATATTTCATTCATGTCTGTGTTCTCCTTTCATTATTTGCTTTTCCTTGTGCCGTGATTTTAAGTGAAACTGAAGGAACATAAAGCTTGCTGCTGCTGAGAAGGGGAGATCTCACCAGTACACTGAATAGTGTACCACATGGCTGGAAACAGGGGTGAGGACAGTGAAAAAAGAACAAGACAAGGAAAGGTAAGATTTTCTCTTCCTAGTAAACCCTATCTGCAATCTAACAAGTCGGGCTCAGGACCTGTACCTCAATTAAAGAATTATACACAGGTATGCCTCATAGGACTCAGGGG